TTTTATCTTTTCTCTATACAGAATTCAGGTTTTATGCTCAGTTCCTTACCTCTGAATGCTTGGAGACTCTTCCTAGCTGCCTGTTTGGGGATAAAAGTAGCAGCACACTTTAAGCCTTTTGGAAGACTTACAGCTTGGAAAAATCATCAGTACTTCATCTTGAGAAGGTGCTGGGAAGGCCTCAAGTGCCCTGACTGCCTCTCACTTTATGGACTTTATTCCTTATCAGTGCATTTTTTCATTAAGGTGAATTGCATCTAGTTGCTCCTAAAAATTACATGAAAATGAAGAACAATTTATGTGCTCTGTAATTTGGATCAGAATGAATCTGATGTAGTCTAAATTACACCAACTGAAATCTATCTAATACCATTCACTGTATTTATGTGTGTAGGAACACATTCAGCACAAAGGATGCTCTCACTAACAACTTGCCTCTTCCTACAGTACAAATGTAAGGACTTCCCTGTCAAAAGGGAAACTCCTGCTTTTCTGTGAATTAATATGCCCCTTATAACTTTGTCCCCATGTGTATGTTTTGACTTTACATTAAGCCAGAGATGATGATTTCATTAATTCTTCTTCCCAGTGGCACCTCATTTTTCACACTGTTTGTTGCCACAACGAATGCCATATACTTTTGCAGGGGCAAAGTTATTGAGCAGAAGAGATTGACAAAGAAAGCTCGCACTTTTGTGTACTTGCCAAAGTACCTTAGTAAACCTCTGGAGATGCTGTTAAACCCCATATTGCTGATGTATGTTGGTACACTACATCCTGACAGATTAGCATGATCTCAGACCTACCATTCCATCTTATACTTCCATTTGGCTACTGTTAGGAAACTGATACTGTTCCAGTATGGAAAATTCAGAGTGTCAGTGCACTGGATAAGCCACAGCTAAATTTACCATGTCAGCTCTTCCACAGGAATTGCATATGCCTGTTCATAGAGACTGTGGGACAGTTCAGCCATCTAGAAAAGAAGGGTGAGTTATCTCACATTTACAGGAGGGTTCAAACTGTGTGCATTCAAACCATGCACAATTGTTACCACAGTGCTGTAAACCCACTGCTTGGTTTGCCTGGTGGTAACTCCTTGTATTTGCATTGCCTCTGTATTATTATCCGCTTGTTATATGCAAAATCTAGTAAGATTTTATTTTTCTGGTGGAATTATCTAATCAGAGAAATATGAGATACATAGATGTCCAATAAATATTCAGTATAGAATGCTTTTGAGTCAGTATAGACCTGGTTTTGCATTACATAGATGGAAAACAGGTAATGGCATACAATCTTCTCTCTGAAACAACCACGATTTCCGTAGCTCAAATGTTCAAATATTAGTTCTTTCTGAAAGAACTGGAGACAGACAGGCATGTGTCAACATGTATAAAAGATTTTGAATAAAGAGATTAAGATAAAGCAGAGACTGAAATTGAGCCTTTAGAA